TTTTTTTTTTTTTTTACTTGTTTAAAGACCTCGACTGCTCTTCGGTCCATAAACAGTCAATAAAGAACTTTACCAATATCAGTAGCCATCTTGACCTCACACTTGGTCAATAACCCATATGTACTGTTTTAAGTTGTTTTATTTTTGGTAGTAATGACTTCCCTTGCAAAAAACGGAAACAATATTCTGTCACTTTATTCGTCTTTGACATCCATTCCTTATCCGTGATTCCACTCCTTGAGTTGCAGACGCTGTTGTAAAGGACGTTTAAGCAAAATGAGTGTTTCTACCAGCTTATGTTTTAGCTGGATATTTGTCTCATTCAGTAAAATATATATTGTGTTCGAAGTTATGATACTTCATCTTCAGAATGGTAATGAAAAATGTTTACAATTTCCGTAATGGGAGGTCGCTTAGACTGTACACTACGCGTAGGATCGTGTATAATAGTTATTGTGGAGTGTACCCATAAAACTGCAGCGACAAACAACACTGGACGACCAGATGTTCACAAAAAATCATAAAAGTGAGAAGGAACAGATGCACGTCTTTTGGCTTTGATGGTGCAAACAAAATCACTCAGGCCACTGAGTATATTACGAACTCACAACTCGGACCATCTCCCAGTTGGCTTGACAGCTCAGTTGGTAGAGAACTGCACCGATATCGCAGCTCTAGGGCATGGGTTCGAATCCTGTTCAATCCTGAATTTTTTCAGGCTTTAATCTCACAGCTGGGCCATTTTACGCCACTGAAAATGTAATAAACTTGTTCGGAAAATTAAAAACTCATTGTGGCAATAAATCGCCAACGGTTCTTCGACACGCGCATACCTAACCCAAGGCGGGTACTTCCCGAAAATTTTCGTGGGAATGTGCAACTTGGTTTCTTAAAAACCTTTTTACCCTAATGTGAGGAAGAGCGTCATAGACCACTACTCATTTTCACAGTCGACGACTAATTCACTAGTCTGTCGTGCACCTAAGCAGTCTTGTTTCGCTAAGAAACCTTTGGTCATTCTCGTCCCCAGTGTAACTCGATTTAAAAATGTCGTTTCGAGTAGCCGACCACCGGAGATCTGGAGACGAAAATGCGCTTGGAAGGTACAACGAGATCGCGTGACAAGTTACATAACGAATTTCCTATTGTATTAAACAGCGTAGTATGCTTTGCTTTGTTTTGCAGCAATGAAATTTAAGGAGAGTACTTGACATTGAGTTCTCTGTATTTGAGCTATGTTCATTCTTTTATAACATCAGCCAGATTTCAGAACCGCGAAAGGATCTACTCTTCCACGTAAATGTTCCTAGAGGGAGATAACTAATCAGGTTCAAACAGATTTGCATACAGTGGAATCTCGAAGCCTTCCAGATAACTCAAACTAAAGTCATTTCCCTTGTCTCAGTAAACACTGGAATTTTAGCCCTGATTTCTCAAGCTGCGCGAGTTTTTCAAACCAATTTTCGTTTCCCTTGGAGGTTCCAAAAGTCAAGGTTCCACTGAATAAAAATGAAAATGTAAATACTGATTTTGTTGTTACACTGGGGAGAAAATAATATCGCTTCAATTCTCGGTTTGCAACCTAACTTGCTCCAATCTTTTAGCCGACATTTTGAACCTCTTCGCCTCAGATATATTTTATCTGACGAAAGATCAAGGAAATATGGAAATGGTGCTTGAAGAAAAACGACGAACAGACGGTGTTTGATTGCATTTCCAAACACCGAAAAGACAGTTGAAAACACGACGCGTAGCGGAGTATCTTTGACGATTTTCGAAGCGTTTGGAAATGTGGTCAAACACTGTCTTTAATATTTGATATATATTCTTAATCGAAATTATAACTAAGGAGAAAACGGAGAAATAAAGTTGTAAAAATCTATTCTAATTAGATCAGATTATCCAAACACCGTCACGGTCATGTTCCCTTTGTTTGAACTCAGTGAATTATTAATGAGTTTAAGAAATCTCGTGCCTGTTTTACGGCACGTGCCAGTGACCACCAAACAGACACCTTGATAAACAATTAAAAATTTGCAACTTATGAAGAGTGAAGGTCACGTATATGACCTGTTTTAGGCAATTAATAAACCGTCGGAGCCTGTCGCGCAAAAAATATGAATATTAAGAAAATGAAAACACTGGCNATATGGAAATGGTGCTTGAAGAAAAACGACGAACAGACGGTGTTTGATTGCATTTCCAAACACCGAAAAGACAGTTGAAAACACGACGCGTAGCGGAGTATCTTTGACGATTTTCGAAGCATTTGGAAATGTGGTCGAACACTGTCTTTAATGTTTAATGTATATTCTTAATCGAAATTATAACTAAGAAGAAAACGGAGAAATAAAGTTGTAAAAATCTATTCTAATTAGCTCAGATTATCCAAACACCGTCACGGTCACGTTCCCGTTGTTTGAACTTGGTGAATCATTAATGAATCTAAGAAATCTCGTGCCTGTTTTAAGGCACGTGCCAGTGACCACCAAACAGACACCTTGATAAACAATTTAAAATTTGCTACTTATGAAGAGTGAAGGTCGCGTATATGACCTGTTTTAGGCAATTAATAAACCGTTGGAGCCTGTCGCGCAAAAAATATGAATATTAAGAAAATGAAAACACTGGCCTGGCCCCTCAGACGGCAAGCTGTCTCATTTCCTACCGTTTAATGATTTTTACAATTACAATGTTCCCGTTTAGTGAGGCAATTCCTAGACGGTCGATGATGAGACTGCATATAAAGGCGAATAATATAAACATATTTTACGTACAGTCTGTTAGGTCAGCCAACATCACACACCCGTCTAGAGAGGAAACATTGCATAATTCAATTCATTGCTTACATATTTCTAAGTGTGCACAAGTCGCATGCCTGAGTGTACTGAATAATATGACCTTGAACTTCAGTCTCATGGCGGTGCTCCCCCCGGCGTCCTCGACGTTAACTCTGGCATGTACGATTTCAACACCAACGTCATGGTGGTGTTCTTTGCTGAACAGATTAAAATTTGCATAGATGCTTTGCTTTTGTCCATATTTTTCTCCTTTCCTACACGAAATTAGTTCCCCAGCTCAGAGCGATGTTAAAGGCATTGTCAAATGCTTTCGTTGATGATCTTATCGAAAATGATGAAATATTAGCTAAAAACATATCGAACTCAGGACTAGTGCAAAAAATCATACCCCATATGAGACCAAAATGGCCAAAATCGATACCCTATTTCTGACCAAAACGGCCGCACGTCCTATATAGCCCATATAAGGGAGTAGCCCCCTTCACCCGGGAGGGGATTGGGCGATATTAACGGTATCTATAGGAACGAAGTAAGATCATTAAAAGTGCAACGGCATTTTTGCGTCTACATGCATCAAGTCACGATTTTTTACCTGTCAGTCAATAAAACCCTTATAAAAACCGTTGCAAACCTTGCCACTCAAACACAAAATGTATTTCTCAGTCACAAGAGGGGCTTGTAGGTACGTTTGGGAACTATTAATTCAGTGGTATAATCTTACATTGTGGATCAAAGTTGTCTTACCCGTTAGGAAAAGGAAAAAGCTTTGATACAACAGTAAGTACTAAATTAAAAACTTTTCTTCTCGAAATCTTTAGATCCTTTTAGTGACTTCTTAAAATTTGCATGTATGTATTTTTAGAATTTTTTTTTTGCTTTACGATTTTTATTTGATAATTCAGTTATCTAGTAGGTCCTAGTGCATCTACGAGTGCGCTTCCTTGATAAAAATTGTTCTAATTACACTAAAAATAAGATTATGATACCGTTGTAGAAATCGAATTATCTAGCGGTGATGAAAAACAGGCACTTAGTACTTTGAAAGCTTTTTTTTTTTTTTTTTTCATTTTTTTTTTCTTCTACTTAAGTGTGAAGTAACGCAATTCCTATATTTGCATTACGCGCCACATTAGAATCCAAAGCTAAAGTCGTCAGTTCGGATACAGTATCTTCGGCTGGAAGAATTAAATATACCCTTTTAACCTAAAGAGATTAGAATTAGAGTCATAAGATAAACGATCGTTGCAAATTCACCATGACCGATGATTCAATTCTAACTAAACCACAGCCTTGGAAAAGCGTGACAGTTTTCATAGGTACGCATGTCGTGCAAAGTCAACATAACACAAGGTCAACATTACTCGACAGCCCTCTTGACAGTTGTCCGTTACTCGCACAGCAATGAAAATGAACGGACAGGTTAAAGACTCTAGGCCGACTTCTACAACGTCCAGGGTGAAAAGAGTTTCGTTTGCGGATTTTGTTGGCCTAAAACTTGAGTTTGTGAGAACCATTACTCCCTCCAGCAGCGAAGACAACTTATGTACACTAGAGGACGCGTTATGGAAAACCAACTGTGACGACACTGAGGCACCAAAGAAGCGGGTAAAATGTCTGTACCCGTGTTTCGTTCAACCTTCAGAATCAACAGACAGTTTCATGAAGAGGGTTTACAGCCAGAATGTGTGCCTCGAGTACATCGTGTGCAATAACTTAGTTATCACCGGACTTATTCGGGTGACAAATTTATCTTACATGAAAGAGGTGACTGTCAGATTTACACTTAATGGATGGGAGACGTATCAAGACGTTTGGGCGGATTTCATGTCCACTTGTTTGGATGGCAGAACAGAAACGTTTAGTTTTCGTATCTCAATACCTCATGACTTTGAAGTAAATCGGTATATGGAGTTCGCAATTCGCTATCGCGCCTCAGACAATGAGTTTTGGGATAATAATGGCCGNCCTTTGAAAAGCGTGACAGTTTTCATAGGTACGCATGTCGTGCAAAGTCAACATAACACAAGGTCAACTTTACTCGACAACCCTCTTGACAGTTGTCCGTTACTCGTACAGCAATGAAAATGAACGGACAGGTTAAGGACTCTAGGCCAACTTCTACAACGTCCAGGGTGAAAAGGGTTTCGTTTGCGGATTTTGTTGGCCTAAAGCTTGAGTTTGTAAGAACCATTACACCCTCCAGCAGCGAAGACGACTTGTGTACACTAGACGACGCGTTATGGAAAACCAACTGTGACGACACTGAGGCACCAAAGAAGCGGGTAAAATGTCTGTACCCATGTTTCGTTCAACCTTCAGAATCAACAGACAGTTTCATGAAGAGGGTTTACAGCCAGAATGTGTGCCTCGAGTACATCGTGTGTAATAACTTTGTTATCACCGGGCTTATTCGGGTGACAAATTTATCTTACATGAAAGAGGTGTCTGTCAGATTTACACTTAATGGATGGGAGACGTATC